GAATGACTATCATCCGCCAATGTGATATGGCTGTGAAAAAAGCTAATGAGGTCTTGGGATGCATCAGGCGAGGTATTTCCAGTAGAGATAAGGAGGTGTTAGCACCGTTATACAAGGCACTGGTGAGACCTCACCTGGAATACTGTGTGCAGTTCTGGTCTCCCATGTTTAAGAAGGATGAATTCAAACTGGAACAGGTACAGAGAAGGGCTACTAGGATGATCCAAGGAAAACCTGTCTTATGAAAGGAGACTCAAGGAGCTTAGCTTGCTTAGCCTAACCAAAAGAAGGCTGAGGGGAGATATGATTGCTCTCTATAAATATATCAGAGGGATAAATACCAGAGAGGGAGAGGAATTATTTAAGCTCAGTACCAATGTGGACACAAGAACAAATGGATATAAACTGGCCATCAGGAATTTTAGACTTGAAATTAAATGAAGGTTTCTAACCATCAGAGGAGTGAAGTTCTGGAACAGCCTTCCAAGAGAAGCAGTGGGGGCAAAAGACCTATCTGGCATCAAGATTAAACTTGATAAGTTTATGGAGGAGATGGTATGATGGGATAACATGATTTTGGCAATTAATTGATTGTTAACTATTCATGGTAAATAGGCCCAATGGCCTGTGATGGAATGTTAGATGGGGTGGGATCTGAGTTACTACAGAGAATTCTTTCCTGGGTATCTGGCTGGTGAATCTTGCCCACATGCTCAGGGTTCAGCTGATCGCCATATTGGGGGTCGGGAAGGAATTTTCCTCCAGGGCAGATTGGAAGAGGCCCTGGGGGTTTTTCGCCTTCCTCTGCAGCATGGGGCACGGGTCACTTGCTGGAGGATTCTGTGCACCTTGAAGTCTTTAAACCATGACTTGAGGACTTCAATAGCTCAGACATAGGTGAGAGGTTTATTGCAGGAGTGGGTGGGTGAGATTTGGTGGCCTGCATTGTGCAGGAGGTCAGACTAGATGATCATAATAGTCCCTTCTGACCTTAATATCTATGAGGTGGAAGGCCTGAAAGTCACTGGCATAAGGTGGTGGTGGAAGCATTACTGTCTCACCCAGGAATGAAGGGGGAGCGAGTTTCCCTCCATCTGGGGGTCCTCCTGCTCCTGGATGTCTCCTGAGGAGACATAAGGTAAGGGAGGGCGATCCTGTGGTACTGAAGGTTAGTCAGTGCCTATGAATGATGCAGTACCAGTGGGCACTGGGTCTCTTTCTGGTTGGAACCCTATCAAATTGTTCACTGAGGTGACCAGGGATTGCAGCAACCCCACTGAGTGGGTGGATAGAGGACCACAGACAGTCACAACCTCTGGCTTGAGGATACCTGGTGAGGTCCAAAAGAGAATAGTGGTGTGACGAAGTTGGGGATTTTTGTAGTGTTTTACATGAATAGTGGGTGCGCAACTCAGTTTCCCTGTGTGCTGCATGTTTAGCAAGGTGATGGGAGAGGGTTTGTTGTTGCAGAGAACCAGCTGTGACCTTGCCTACTGGCCAGGACCCGCAGAAAACAGCCTGGAGATGGGGAACCCTAACAACTGGTGATTAAGAGGCCCACCCCAGCCTGGCCGTCAGCTGGTTCTGGCCGGGGGAGGACAAAGGGTTGAGGAGAGAGAACCCCGGTGACATGACCAATCAGTTCCAGCCAGAGGGGAACAAAGGATGGAAGAGAGGGCCCCAGCAACCTGTTTACCTGGGACAGAAGACAAAGGACAGGGGAGGAGCTGTTGGGGCCAGGATGCCTAGCTGGAAAGTGCAGAGTCTCTGGACTGGGGGGGAGGGGGAGGGCAGAGAGAGAGAGAGAGAGAGAGAGAGAGAGAAAAGGCAGAGCCCACCTGCATCCAGGGGAGATTTAGATGTACTGTGCTGAGGGAGGCCAGGTCTGAGGGCCCTGAGAGTTTCTTATGCTGTGTTCAGACGCTCAATAAACCCTCCTGTTTTACACTGGCTGAGAGTCGCTCCGGCCTAGAGAACAGGGTTGCATTAGTCCTTCTGGGAGTGGAGGCCCCAGGGGTCCAGAGCAAGTAGACTCCCTAAGGGGGCCCATGGGGAGAGACAGACATGCTAAGGGTCAGAGAGGTGTGGTTCCAGGAGGCAGAGGAGCTTAACCCCCAAGAGAGAGTGGACCACCAAGAAGGGCTGTTACACTGAAAAGGGTTCTCCCCAGGGACCGTATGGAGCCAAGAGTGGGCATGACCTGTGAGTCCGTGACAAGTGGGTGTGGTGGTCAGGTACCAAAAAAGATCCCTGTACCAAGACCTATGAGTCTGAAGAAAAATCATCCCCTGGGCTGAAGGGGAAGCCTCAGACATAGTTGCCAGTACCAAGGCTGGAGGTCCAACTGGGATTCAATCTGTCTGAGTGGTCCTGGGGAAGAGACCCTGTTAAAGAACCATAGCAGGGGAGACTCCTGTTCCTCAGTACAAACAGATCCTCCAAGGACAGAAATCTGGAGGATTATGGTGTCCAGAAGACTGACTCGCTACCAGGGCCTGACATTGCCAAGATGGTGAGCACTGTACTGGTGAGGTTTGTAAATGAGCTTCTCTAACCTCAGAGCCCTGGTGTCATGGAGGTGAAGGTACCGAGGCGTGTAGGAGGCGATCTTGGTGCCTTGGCATGCCAGTCAGTTCATGCAACTTATCTGGGCCTTCTATTTAACACCCTCTTTAGTCCCTAATTGACTGAAAAGGAGTTTATCATCCTGCTTTTTCCAACACCACACAGCCCTTGCCCCATGGAGCCCAGGACCCAGATCAGCACAGTTCAGATGAGGCAGCGAGGAATTTGCTGATAAGCTCCATGTGGTTTTAATGAAGAGGGAGAGGAGATTGTCTGGCATCAAGAGAAAGGGGCAGGCAACTGGGGAAGCACAGAGGGCATGAAGCAGGCTGAAGTAGACAGGTGGGAGGGAGACGAGAGACTCAGGCTGCATTATGCAGAGACCTGACAGGGTGGACAAAGCTTGTGAAGGGGTATACAGAGAGAAGGAACGTGGCCAGAGCAGCTCAAGAGGAAGAGAACTCTGTAGCTATGATAGCCTGGGGGTCCCTTTGTCCAGGACTCTGGGGAGCATCAGGGACAAGTGAAAATTCCCATTTCCCTACCACAAATTCATAGATTCCAAAGCCACAAGGGATCATTAGGATCATCTAGTCTGGCCTCCTGTATAACCCAGGCCAGAGACCTGCCCCCAAATAATGCCTAGAGCAGAACTTTTAGAAAAACATCCTGTCTTGGCTTACAAATTGTCAGTGATGGAGAATCCAGCATGACCCTTGGTAATTATTCCAATGGCTAATTACCCTTAGTCCAAATTTTACACCTTATTTCCAGTCTGAATTTATCTAGCTTCAGCTTCCATCCATTGGATCATGTTATAACTTTCTCTGCTAAATTGAAGAGCCCATTATTAAATATGTTACTCATGTAGGTACTTAAAAACTTTGATCAAGTCACCCCTTAACCTTCTCTTTAAGATAATATATTGAGTTCCTTCAGCCTCTCACAATAATGCATGTTTTCTAATCCTTAAATCCAGCAGTTCCCAAACTCTGGGTCACAACCCCAAATGGGGTCACACCATCAGCAAATAGGGTCATGGCAATCTCTACTGTGCAGAACATGTGTGCGAGGTGACGCTGTACGGAGGATGACATTTTGCTCTACAAAATGGCATCCTCCATGCTGTCTGGGGTCCTGGGAAGAAATCATTAAAATGGGGTTGCGCCGGCAAAAATTTTGGGTATCCCTGCTTTAATCATTCTTGTGGCTCTTCTCTGAGCTCTCTCCAAGAAGGCTGTTGATAAACTGAATGGTAGTCAACAGAACTGGACACTATATTGCAGCAGTAGTTGCATCAGTGCAAAACAGAGGTAAAAATCTCTCTGCTCCTACCCGAGTTTGCTGTGTTTATATGTACATCTAAGGATATTAGCTCTTCTGGTCACAGCGTCACAGTGGGAGCTCATGTTCAGCTGATTATCCACCATGACCCCCAAATCTTTTTCAGAGTCAATGCCTCCCAGGACAGAGTCACCCATCCTGTAAGTATGGCCTACATTCTTTGTTCCTAGATGTATCAAAAATATCAAACACACTAGCAGAATGTTACAAAGAGCTCTGAGAAAACTGAGTGACTGGGCAACAAAGTGGCGATGAAATTCAACATTGAGGAGTGCAAAGTAATTCACACTGGAAAACCTAATCCTAACTACATATATAAGACAATGGGGTCTAATTTAGTTGTTACCACTCAAGAAAGATCTTGGAGTCATTGTGGATAGCTCTCTGAAAACATCCGCTCAATGTGCAGCGGCAGTGAAAAAAGCGAACAGAATGTTAGGAACCATTAGGAAAGGGATAGATAATAAGACAGAAAAACATCATAATGCCACTATGTAAATCTATGTTACGCCCACATCTTCAATACTGCGTGCAGTTCTGGTCAGTCCATCTAAAAAAGATGTATTTGAATTGGAAAAGGTAAAGAGAAGGGCAATGACAATAATTAGGGGAACAGAACATCTTCCATATAAGGAGAGATTAAATAGATTGGAACTGCTTATCTTAGAAAAGAGAAAAAGAAGAGATACAATAGAGGTCTATGCAATTATGAATGGCACAGAGAAAGTAAATAGGAAAGTGTTATTTATCTCTTCACATAAGACAAGCAGCAGGGGTCACCCAATGAAAGTAATAGGCAGTAAGTTTTAAACTAAAATAAGGAATTACTTCTTCACACGCAGAACTTGTTGCCACAGGATGTTGTGAAGGCCAAAAGTATAACTGGGTTCTAAAAAACAATTAGGTAAATTCATGGAGGATGGGTCCATCAATAGCTATAGCCAAGATGGTCAGGGAGACAGCCCCATGCTCTGGGTGTTCCTAAATCTCTGACTGCCAGAAGCTGGAACTGGACTGCGGAACGTAACCCCAGCGTAGATGAGACTCGCCTGTACTAGGGGCTGCCCCACAGCCCTGCCCTACCCCGGTACCTGCCTCTTTTTTTCCCTTCCTTGTGCAGGAATCTCGATGATTCTTAGGCACTTCCCAGGAGATCTGAAAAAAAGCAAGAAACTTCAATGTCAATTATCCTTCGCGCATTGCAGGCCACCCACCCAGAACTGCCTATGCTGCACACAGGACTGGAGCCCACCCTGCTGGGTACTGCACCAGCACTGGGGAGACACTCCTTGCCCAAGCAGCTGACAAACACAGACAGGAGGAAAGAGCAGCCAAAGCCAACATGGACTCCTTCACTGTCACAGATTCTAAGCCCAGAACAGACCACTGTGATCCTTTAGTCTGGTCTCCTATACAACACAAGCGAGAGAACATCAACACAATCATTCCCATTTGAACCAGAGCATATATTTTAAATAAGAACCCTTTACCCCAGCTCAGACTCAGCCCATCCATAGTTAACTGCTTGACTACTTACAGCTGCTGTATGCAGTGTTGCTGGAGCCAACTTCTGCTCGTGAGAAAGACAAGCTTTCGAGCTACATAGAGCTCTTGCTTAGGTCTGGGAAAGGCACTTAGAGTGCAGGAGTAGATCTTGAGGGTGCTACAAATGTGGGGTGTTGGGGAGAAAGCACAGTGTGAGATGCTACCCGACAGGCAGACAAGTTGGAGTTTGAGAGGGACAACTGAGATGAGAAAGCAGAGAAGCGGGGGGCTGGGAAGAGACCCAAAGGGAGGACAAGGAAGTTGATTTGATGCAGTAGAACATGGGGAGCCAGCAGAGGGACTCGTGGAAGGGGTAGGTTTTTCCAAGTGCCTGGCCAGTAAGATGAGCAGAGTGCATGAGGTGTGGGGTGAGTGTCCAGGAGGCTGGAGAGGAGGGAATTGCAGTCATAAGAGTGGAGAGGGGCCAGGAGGGTTTTCCCAGTGTGAACAGAGAAAAAAGCTGGATCTTAGAGGTGTTATTTAGGAAAAACAGTCTGGGTGTGAGGGGAGAGGAAGGTGTCTAAGGTGATAATCATGTGACAGGGAGGATGGTGTGTTTGCAAGGGAAGATCCATAAACCTGGAAATCCTGGGCACCCCATCATCTCAGGCATTGGCACCCTGACAGCAGGATTGTCTGGCTATGTAGACTCCCTCCTCAGGCCCTACGCTACCAGCACTCCCAGCTACCTTCGAGACACCACTGACATCCTGAGGAAACTACAATCCATCGGTGATCTTCCTGAAAACACCATCCTAACTACTATGGATGTAGAAGCCCTCTACACCAACATTCCACACAAAGATGGACTACAAGCCATCAGGAACAGTATCCCCGATAATGTCACGGCAAACCTGGTGGCTGAAACTTTGTGACTTTGTCCTCACCCATAACTATTTCACATTTGGGGACAATGTATACCTTCAAACCAGCGGCACTGCTATGGGTACCCGCAGTATGCCAACATTTTTATGGCTGACTTAGAACAACGCTTCCTCAGCTCTCGTCCCCTAAAGCCCCTACTCTACTTGCGCTATATTGATGACATCTTCATCATCTGGACCCATGGAAAAGAAGCCCTTGAGGAATTCCACCATGATTTCAACAATTTCCATCCCACCATCAACCTCAGCCTTGACCAGTCCACACAAGAGATCCACTTCCTGGATGCTACAGTGCTAATAAGCGATGGTCACATAAACACCACCCTATACCGGAAACCTACTGACCACTATTCCTACCTACATGCCTCCAACTTTCACCCTGACCACACCACACGATCCATTGTCTACAGCCAAGCTCTACGATACAACCGCATTTGCTCCAACCCCTCAGACAGAGACAAACACCTACAAGGTCTCTATCAAGCATTCTTACAACTACAATACCCACCTGCGGAAGTGAAGAAACAGATTGACAGAGCCAGAAGAGTACCCAGAAGTCACCTACTATAGGACAGGCCCAACAAAGAAAATAACAGAAAGCCACTAGCCATCACCTTCAGCCCCCAACTAAAACCCCTCCAATGCATTATTAAGGATCTACAACCTATCCTGAAGGATGACCCATCACTCTCACAGATCTTGGGAGACAGGCCAGTCCTTGCTTACAGACAGCCCCCCAACCTGAAGCAAATACTCACCAGCAACCACATACCACACAACAGAACCACTAACCCAGGAACCTATCCTTGCAACAAAGTCCGTTGCTAACTGTGTCCACATATCTATTCAGGGGACACCATCACAGGGCCTAATCACATCAGCCACATTATCAGAGGCTCGTTCACCTGCACATCTACCAATGTGATATATGCCATCATGTGCCAGCAATGCCCCTCTGCCATGTACATTGGTCAAACTGGACAGTCTCTACCTAAAAGAATAAATGGACACAAATCAGATGTCAAGAATTATAACATTCATAAACCAGTCGGAGAACACTTCAATCTCTCTGGTCACTCGATTACAGATCTAAAAGTCGCAATATTACAACAAAAAGACTTCAAAAACAGCGTCCAACGAGAGACTGCTGCATTGGAATTAATTTGCAAACTGGATACAACTAACTTAGGCTTGAATAGAGACTGGCAGTGGATGGGTCATTACACAAAGAAACTATTTCCCTATGTTTATTCCCCCCCCCCACACACACACAGTTCCTCAGATGTTCTTGTCAACTGCTGGAAATGGCCCACCTTGATTATCACTACAAAAGGTTTCCTCCTCCCCCCCCACCCCGCTGGTATTAGCTCATCTTAAGTGATCACTCTCCTTACAGTGTGTAAAACACCCATTGTTTCATGTTCTCTGCGTATATAAATCTCCCCACTGTATTTTCTACTGAATGCATCCGATGAAGTGAGCTGTAGCTCACAAAAGCTTATGCTCAAATAAATGTTAGTCTCTAAGGTTCCACAAGTCCTCCTGTTCTTTTTGCGAATACAGACTAACACAGCTGCTACTCAAACTATCTATGTTAACTATTCACACTAACTACTATCTATTATTTGCAACAACAACAACAACAACAAAATGTTAAAATCCTTTACAAGCAGCTCCAACTTGTAGCCAAAAGCAGTGAGAAGGAATTGAGGGAGGTTCAGGGTGGCTCTGCCTTCTATATCCTTGGCTGAAGGCATGAGGAAGCACAGGGCATATGCTCCACCCTGACAGATACTGCTACAGAAAGCTCTCTGGCTTGAGTACACATACGCTTAAGTCAAACAGACATGTGCAGTCACTCAAAGAAGAAAATAAATGGTCCAGCTTTTTCAACTCCCAATCAGCTTCTCAACCTTGAATAAACTAGTTGAATAAACTGAAGTGAAGCAAATATTCTTTCTGAACCTGCTCGTTTAGCACTTCCGCAAACTCTGGACCCAGGTGCTCAGCCAGTGACTTCCACCAGTGGCGTAGCCGGGTGGAATGAACAGGGGGAGCGGACATACAAAAAAGGTGCCACCCACTTGTACTCACCGGGCGGCGCTCCGGGTCCTTGGTGGCACCGAAGGCCCTCGCCACCGAAATGCCGCCGAGGACCCAGAGCGAGTGAAGGCCCTCGCCAACGAACCCGGAGCGCTTGAAGGCCCCCACCGCTGAAGTGCCAGACCCACCGCTGAAGACCCGGAGCGCCACCGGGTGAGTAAAAATGAAAAAAGGCGCCAAAATATTAAGAAGGCGCCACTTGTGCTCAGTGGGGGAGCGGCCACTCCCCCCCGGCTATGCTACTGACTTCCACCAGTTCAGGGCTCTAACTTTCTTTAAGACTTTGGCAGCAAACATACTGCGTGAGTATTATTTTATTTAAATGATATCAATTAGAGTAAGTCTAGGCCCTAGTATAGGTTGCAACCATTTCAAATGAAATTTGAAGTGTTTTTAGAAAAGTATTTAAGTAAAAAAACAAATCAACCATTTGTATCCCTCTCGGTAGAGGGATTCTACAACACTCAGTGGAGGAGGGAGCTAGACCTGCAGAGAGGCCATGGACATCAATGGACTGGAATGAGCGATGCTAATGGAAACAAGACAGTGGCCAGAGTGGCAATGCAGAAATGGTGAGGTTCTTGGCTGGGAAAGTGACTGACTTGATCCAGCCTTGAGGGGTGAGAAGAGGCAGGAAAGTGGAGATGGGAGGCTAGTAGGTGAGATGGGGCTGTCTCCTCTGTGCTCCCTTGAGCAAACCCACTGTAGGCTCACAGCTCCTCAGCTGTCACCTCTCTTGGGCAGAGACCCGCATTTCTCTCCATCTCCTGACCAGGGTCTTTTCAGGCTGCATGGTCCCATGTTACTCCTGGCAGTGACACTCCCGGAGTTTCCCAGACCTGAAGCAGAGCTCTCACCCACAGAAGTTGGTCCAATAAAAAAGTATTGCCTCACCAACCTTGTCTCTCTAAAATCCTGAGACCAACAGGGCTATAACAGCACCGCATATTCCTAGCAAGCCAGCCTGTCTCAACAAGCCAATATCCTCACTTTGCTTCCTCTTCAGAGGCTCCAAACAGCATAATTGCTCATAGTTTAAGTTACCACACGGCTCTTTCTAAGGAAGTACATTTAGTCTTAAAGTGAAAGGATTACAGAGAAAACATTAGAACAGTAAAAGATCCTACACATACTAATAAGCTTATCAGAGATCACCCCCAACTCCAGTGAGGACTTTAGGAGGAGTCAGGCCTTCAAATGCCACAAAGGAATTTTCCTGGGGTTACAAGTTCATAACAGCTTTAGCTCAGCATTAGCACCCCAAGCATCAGTTAGTCTTTCCTTTATATAGCTTGCGCCTTTGATCTTCAGATTCCAGGAACAGGTTATCAGCGCATAGCTTCAAAAGGGAGGGTTTTTACATAATCCAAGGTGGAAATTTGCATTCACTGCCCCTTAGATATTCCCCACACAAGCCACTTGACCCTGCCTGTCCAAAAGTCCATTCTTGTCTGGCCCATTGTTTAAATGCAGTCCTTTGAAGTTCATAACACTTTCCAGGGCTCATATCTCCCCTAGAGATGTCAGGTAGAATCCTGGACCACAACACCACACAACCTTTATATTTAATGAATTGGACTCCAAAGAAAAAAACTAATTCAATGAGATACTTCACAGATATTGCAGGAAACTGGATATTGCACAGGGACCTTAGGAGGAGGCTGATGACCCTGAAGAAGAGGGAGATCCAGGCATCAAAGTCAGAGGGACGTGGTCAAGGAGGAGCTACCAGGAGGAGAGAAAGACCTGATGGAGGGGGAGGGGGAAGGTGGGGACTGAAAGTGGCAGGACAGAAGATACTTGATATAGCCCCCAAAAGATCCTGGTGTGGATAATGGAGGGGCGGGAGGGGAGAGAATCTGCCAGCAGACAGCAGTGCTGGGTCCTGCAGGTCTCAGAGAGCTGGATGGAGAGAGGGCAAAATTGTGACACCTCCGGTACAGCCACACCCAGGAGTTCAAAGACCACGACCCAGGCCGCAAGAAGTCATGAGATTTTTTTATAAAGTAATCTCATGATTTTTAAGCCAAGTTTGAGCTCTTGCTCTCTCTGGTTTCTGAGCTGTTCAAGCATGTCACATTTGCAAACTTTTCTCCAAACCCTGAGGGCTTCTGAAAATGCCAGCCGAGTCCCTCACATACTCACTTGTCTCCAGGAGCCGGGTCATTATGAAAGCCCCAAGTGTTACGAGACTCATAATAAAATCACAAAGAAGAGTTGGCAACGCTGCAGAAGGGCACATGAGGTGGGGGACAAAAAGGGGGCCAGACGTCACCAGAGAAAGAGGCAGTGGCAGATTTTATTCTGTTTGCACATTATAAGTGTGATCGAGTCATGATCACTTGTACCGAAGCTACCATTAATTTTTAGTTCTGTGATCAGTTCCTCTTTATCGGTCAAGATGAGGGCTAATATAGAATTCCCCATACTTGGTGCAACACATTTTGAGTTAGAAAGTTATCTATAATATTTAGAAATTCCAAAGATGTTTTAGTTCTGGCTGTGACAAATACAGCAATTTCCTGCAATATCCTGGAAAAATCATATGAAGTATCTTTCGTGTCCATTATATTAAATGCAAAGGCTGTGTGTTATTGTGGGCCAGGATTGTATGTGACCTCTCTAGGAGGGGACACAGGATGTTAGCCCTGGAAAGTGTTATGAACTTCAAAGGACTGTATTGAACAATGGGTCTGACATGAATGGACTTTTGGACAGACAGTGTCAAATGGTTTGTCTGGGGAATATCTAGGGGAATATGAACGCAAATTCCCTCCTCTGGGTATGCAAAAATCCAGTCTTTTGAAGCTACATCCCGAGGAGGGAACCACTGTCTACTATTACGTGCTCCTAGAATCTGAAAAATCAAAGGCCAAGCTGTATAAAGGAAAAACTAACCGATTCATGGGGGTGTCTATTCTGAGCTAAAACTGTTATGAACTGTTAACCACCAAAACACCCTTTTGTGGGGTTTGAAGGACTGACTCCTACCAGAGCCCATGCTGGAACGGGGTGGGGAATGAGCTCTGTAAGTTTATTAGCATGTGCTTAGGTTCTTTTTTTATTTAATATATTTTTTCTGTAATGCTTTCACCTTAAGAATAATTTTGTGCTTCCTTACAAAGATCTGCGTGGTAACGGTGGGCAGCTATGCTATTTATATCCTCCATTAGGCTCTAATATCGTTGGAACTTCTTGAGCTTCAGCATGTCTGATAGGGCCACTCTCAGTCGGGGTTATGGAGTGGATAATAGGATCTGGCTGGGGTCAGTTCCATTCATCTTCAGTTGATCTATTAGCAAAGTGTGCAGACAGCTCATCACAGCAATCGGTGCTTGGGTCTAGTGTCCAGATTGGTTGATGAGCCAGTTCACTAAGTGAAACAGCCCTGCTGACCATGATTCTGCCTCATGGACTGTGGAGGAGCAGGCGGCTTGTTTGGCCTCCCTCCCTGCAGTGGTGCAGTCCTGTAAGAGCGGTTTGTGCTGCTGGCAGATGGGTCCAAAGTTATGTTGTGCGGTTGTTTGGTTTTAGGCACTGTTGGACTATGCATTTCATTTGCTTTAGTTCTTCTCAGTCAGTGGGGGAGGGGGTAACTAGCACCCAAGAGCTCCTCCTCCAAACTCACATCATACCCCCCAACAGCAACAGCCCCAGAATGCACCTCTACCCTGAGTGTATCATCCCTGCGCACCCGCACCCCCTACCCATCCTCACAGCAATGCACCCATGGACTGTGCCACAGAACTCAGTAATTTCCATGATGTACACAATGCTGGTCCACCTCCCATCCACATTCCCCAGTCCCTATGACTCCCTGGTTGCATCTCCTGAAATCGACCCAGGTAGACTCCACCCTGGCTCAGACACACACCTCCCTCATTCGAAAGCAGCCCCTGCCCCAGCCCAAATAACCCTCATGTGTGATCACACCCCACATGCACCCACCCTGCTACAGATGGCCCCATAAGATTTGGGTCTTGTGCTCACCATTTTGGCAGGCTGGTTGACTGACTCCAAAGGCAGGGCGAAGATGGCGTTCTTGGCTCCCACGTACAGAGTCCTGGTCTGTGGGGCCACCAGGAAGATGCTGTAGTTGGAAATGGCCTCCTGGAAGAAGCGATGAACCATCTGCTGCACCTCTGCAATCAGAGAGCAAGCACACTGTCTGTCCTGGGCATGGAGCACGCAAGGCCTAACCCAGCACCACACACGCTGACCCGTGTGTGAGCCAGGCTAGTGGGGTCACCAAGACTGTGCTCAGCTTCGGGATCCAACAGCTACCTGCTGCTTCAATCCAGATGGAAAGAGAGTGCACAATTTTAGCTGCCCTCCCCTGCCCCCACAGCCTGAGAACACGCATGTGCACAGATCAGCGGCATGCCCCACCACGAGACTGCACTTCTCAGCCTGCCACTGCCCAGAGACCCAGTGAGGCTGATACACAGCTCTCACCAGCCTGGTCTGCAATGGCATTTCACCCCTAGCCTCCCTGTCCAGCAGTGGCGTCAGCCCCAGTGGGACTGACAGTGTGCACAAATTCAAGCAGGTCTCCTAAGAGTGCTGGCATTTAGCACCGTGCTCTTGAGCACTGATCCAAGCAGGACTAGTACAGGGGAGAAGGTCTGGGGCTGCAGGAGCCTGGCCTGCCCTGCCCTATGACATTCCATGCTGCTCCCGCCAGGAAGCTGAACAGGTGGTAACTGAGAAATGTTAAGGAAAACCTGGAGTGTAGACACAAATGAAGGGAAAATGCTTAAGACAGTGGGAGATCACCACAGCTCCCTGTGCAGCAGGAGGGTGCAAGTGGGAGCAGGGCAGGCTGCAAGAGGCAGCAGCTGACTCACTACATCTAGCTGTTACCTGCTGCAGCTTCCAAGGGGAGCCAGCAAGGGGCGATGAGAACTCGCCAATAGAACACCAGGGGAGCCCTGAACAGCCTTTCCACCATCCTCACTTTGCCAGCATAGCCCTTGGCCTCAACGCCCCTCTGACAAGAGGGGGGCCCGGAGAAAGATTTCATCTCCCCTTCGCTACTGTAGCTCCTGTCCGAGCCCAGCACACCAGCAAGCCGCTGCTGCCTCTCAGTCCCTAGCCATCCTCCTGCCTCCCTTCCTGCATCGCTAGCGTGCATGTGCTCCGACAGGGCCACGAGACCCACGAGCTCTGTTGGTCAATATGCACAAAACTGCCTACGTGCTGCTGAGAGGTTTGGATCCCTTGCCAGCAGGCCCTGATCCTGTGGGCATGCTCGGAGCATGCCTCAGACCCGATACTGGTCAGATCCCACAGAAGGAGGGCAGATGCAGACCACTGAGGGGAGGGCAGGTGGCACCCGCATAAGAGCCAGCAGGGGCCCAAGAAAAGCGGGAGAGAGGTATCAAGCGTGAGCATGTGAGAGAGGCGGTCTTAACTATTAGGCTAGGGACTACCTACAGGGCTGGCCTGGCTTAGGAGCCTGACTTTAGAATAGGGTTCAAGGTGGAGGATCCCAGGCTGAATGAGGCGAGAATCTCTGGGCCTGTCAGCCAGGTGCATCAGGTCAGCCATTTCGGTACCCACACCCCTCTCCTCTCCCAACTGCTCTCCTAGCTAGCTTAGATGTCTCTCTGCACAGCTTTCTGGCTTATTAGGTACCTCACTCTCTCCAAGCATTGCACAGGGCTGAGGATTCCACTAGCCAGCAGGGTGCCACCTAGTATTGCAACTCTCAAGTACCTCCGAGGAGCGAGGCCCTTGGGGCATCAGGGTGGGGTGCTCCCTGCTGCAGCTGCTGGTCAGCTCCTCCTATTTCAGTTTCCAGCTGGCTCCTCCCAGGAATTTCTCCCCAAATTTGCCTGGTTATGGAGGCAGGGTGGCACTGCATGGATCCTAGTGTACAAGAAGGGGGATTTCCCCTGCACAGTTCTGGTTCTGAAGGGATGCTGGGTGGCAGGGAAGAGGCAACCCTGGCTGGGTCTCTCTTGCCTCATCCCCTAAGGTGCAGTTACACCTGCTGCAGAGTTTCCTCTTGCTGCCTTCAGTCAGCATCAAGTACAAAATTCCCCTAAGCTTTTAAAACCAGCCAGGCATGTGCCCTAGCTGAGCTCAAAAGTCTTTTGTTTCTCTGGTCTCCCTTCCCTCCCATCTAGAACTGCCTCCTCCATCCCTTCACACAACCATGTCACTGTTGGTGCTGCAAGAGCTCTCTCATCTGCAGCACCTGTTCCATAGTACTCTGCTCTCTATAGCACGTCTCTCTGCCTCGCTTACACTTCTTTCATGTCTGCTGAATATGTCTTTTCTTCCTTGCCAGTAACTCCCCCTGCTTTGCCCTGGTGACTGATGCTGCCAGGAAGCTGCAGCCAGTACATTTACCCACTGTCTTGGATTTAACTGCATCAAAGGTCAGGGATAGAGCTGATTTTCTCTTTTCCATTAGAAAAGTGGTGGAGGTGTCACCATCAGGACATTTAGAGCCAGGCTGCACAAAGCCCCGGAAAAGTCACACTTGGTGGAGCGAAGAGATAACAGGCCTAAGTAGTACATTGGAGGAGGACTGCTACTGACCCCAATATTAAGGTTGCCTCACATTATACCCTCTCATTTCAGTTTTATCTGTGACATACATTAACTGTGCAGCCATTTCTGAGAACAAGCTTAGGGAACAGGTTAGATTGGTCAGTGCCAACATTTTCTGACCTCCCTCCCTGCCCCCCAAAACAGCTCTATCACCTCCAGGTTTGGCCGCAGGAACGTTGTCCTGGGATCAGCATGAAACTCCATCCAGCTTTGGCTGTGTAAGCCATAGAAAATCTGCCATTTTCAACTGCACTGCATGTCCTTTGTCTCACTGCTCAAGGAATGAATCCCTCATTGCAGAGCTCACTGCAGTGAATGAGTCAGGAGTTGCAGGAAGATTAAGGATGGTTTTACGGTTAAGGTACTTGACTGTGACCCAGCCTAAGCTGGCATTTGACAAAACCTCCTTCCCTTCCCCCAACTATCTTCATATCACTTTAGGTCCTTTCACAGTAAAGAGAGCAAAGAAATGCCACCAACTTGATATCTGATGTCATTGCTTTACAAACACAGACTTCAAGCACATCTCAGGGGAAAATAAATTAAGAAAAAAGCCAGTTAAAGAAAGAAAATTATGCTGGGCCCCCAAACAAGATATTTTCTCAAACAATGGGGCTAATGCACTTCATCAAGCTGAACAAACCAGAGTAAGAACTCAAATCCACCCCACACAGGAGAGTCTCAGATCAGCATTTTGCTTAATATTCCAGCAGCTGCAAGCGAAGTGAAGAGTATTAAATTCCAAACGATCACCTAAGCACACCTGCCCTCCCTGCCTGTGAGCAATCTGCATGGTCACATGTGACTTCTCCACTGCAACACAGTGACTGCTCACCATGCAGGAGCCCAGACAGCTGCAGAGTGAACAGGTGTCAAAAACTCCACCCACCAAACATGCTGGGACTTGCACCATGATCCAGGCTCTGATCAGCCAAATGTTTTAAGTTAGATTTGAATCTATAGAACCACAGAATTTCATAACCTGACACCCCAAGAATTAGGGCAAAATGACAGTACTCCCTAAACATACCCCATAGTCACAGGCACTGAGTAAGAACTCATATTCCAGCATTAGAAGGGACCATTGCATTTATCTAGTCTGACCTCCCGTATAACACAGGCTGGAGAACTTCCCAAAAATTCCCCAATCTCTTTTAGAAAACATGCAGTCTTGATTTAAACGTTGCCAGTGATAGAGAATCCACCTGCAATCCTCGGTAAATTGCTACATATAATTCATTACCCTCACTGTTAAATATTTATGACTTATTTCCAATCTGAATTTGTCTAGGTTCAGCCCTCAGCCATTGGATCATGTTAGATCCTTCTCTCCTAGATTGAAAAGTCCATTATCAAATATTTGTTCCTCATGTAGGTACTCCTAGGCTGTGATCAAGTCACCCCTTAACATTCTCTTTGTTAAGCTAAATAGATTCCAGAAGCTCAGTCTATCACTGTAAGGCAGGTTTTCTAATCCTTTAATCATTCTCATGGCTCTTTGCTGAACCCTCTCCAATTTATCAACATTTTTCTTGAATTGTAGACACCAGAACAGGACACAGGATTCCAGTTTGTGCTCAGTACAAAAAGGCAAAAATCTTTCTACTCCCATTCAAGATTCCCCCACGTCTTTCCAAGTATCACATTAACACTTTTGGTGAGAATGTTGCACTGGGAGCTCAAGTACAGCTGATTGTCCACCACAACTCCCAAAACTTTTTCCAGAGTCACTGCTTCCCAGGATAGAGCTTCCCATCCTGCAAGCATGGCCTCCATTCTTTGTTCCTAGATGTACACATTTACATTTAGCCATACTAAAATGCATATTGGTTGTTTTCACCCAGCTTACCAAGCGATCCAGATCACTCTATATCAGTGACCTGTCCTCTTCATTATTCCCCACTCCTGCAATATTTGGGTCCTCTGCAAACTTTCAGTGATGATGTTATCTTTTCTTCCAGGTCACTAATAAAAAAATGTTAAATAGCACAGGGCCAAGACAGATCCCTGTGGGACCCCACTAGAAACACATCCACTCAGGGATGATTCCCTACTTACAATTACATTTTGAGACCTTGTGGCACCTTAGAGACTAACCAATTTATTTGAGCATAAGCTTTCGTGAGCTACAGCTCACTTCATTGGATGCATTCAGTGGAAAATACAGTGGGAAGATTTATATACAAGCTTATGCTCAAATAAATTGGTTAGTCTCTAAGGTGCCACATGTACTCCTTTTCTTTTTGCGAATACAGACTAACATGGCTGCTACCCTGAAACCTGTCATTTTGAGACCTATCAGTTAGCCAGCTTTTAATCCATTAAAGTTTAACATGTTAATTTTATATCATTCCAGATTTTTAATCAAAATGTTGTGTGGTACCGAGTCAAATGCCTTACAGAAGTCTACTTGCATTACACAACTATTACCTTTATCTATTGTGCATAAACCCATGTTGACTGGCATTGGCATTAATTATATTACCCCCTTTAATTCTTTATTAATCACACGCTATATCATTACTTTGCCTGGGACCAATGTCACATGGAAAGGCCTGTAATTACGCAGAACACCCTTTTT